ATGACGGTGACATGTGGGTTGTCTGTGACCAAATATTTAGGCGTGTGTGACCAACTATTTGGCTGATTGACGACTAAATAATAGGTGTCTGTGACTCAAAAATAATTTGTGACCAATAAACTGTGAGTTATGTGACTCATAGATAAAATGTGACCTATAATTTGAATAATCTGTGATCTCGAAATAATATGTGGCTTACAAAATTTTTGATTTGTGATCACGAAAAAACTATGATCAATTAATTTGACGATATGTGACCAGTAAATAAATCTGTGACCTATAATTATGAACTTGTGACCATTAATCATGTAACTGTGACATAATTATCTTTATTTAATAAATATTATTAATTAATAAAATAGATACCTGATTTTTGAATTGGGGTAAGCATAACACCTGAAATTTGATTTTTTCCCTATGAGAAAATTTCATAAGTAAGAGATTACGTATGACATATTTCAAAATTAAGAAAATAAGTTTCAAACTTCAAAAATAAAATTTTTATTAAAATATATTTATGATTTAATTAATTAATTAATTTTTTATTAATTAAATATATTTAGGTCACATATCTATACAATTTGATCACAAATTAACAATTTAATTAGTCACTTATTATTTTTTGGTCACGAATCAAAAATTTTATATCACAAATTATTTTACGATCACCATTCAAAAATTTTGTAAGTCACAGTTCGTTCATCGGTCACAAATCGAAAAATTTATAAGTCACGATTTATTTATTAGTCACAAATCACAAATATTACAAGTCACAACTTATTATACAGTTACAAATTATTAAATTATTGGTCATAGATTTACAATTTATTAGGTCACACATTATTTTTTGGTCATAATTTATCTTTTTCATTAGTCACGTATTAATCAGTTTAATGATAACAGTCAACCAAATAATTTGTGACCACCACCAACACTTACGATTCACATTCACAATTTTCAGGTCACGTATTCAATTGTGAGCCACAGTCACAATTTTCAAGTCACGTATCTAATTGAGTCACAAATCAACCAAATCGCCACAACCACCACCACGACCAACTGTGACTCCCAAATTGTGAGTTACAATTGGGAGTCGCAATCATAATTTTTAGGTCACATATCCAATTTCGAGTTACAATTGAGAGTCACGGTTACGATTTTCAGCGCAGCCAACATCGCTGCTACTGCAGCCAGCACCACCTCCTCTACTGTTGTCGAAACCCACTCCGCCGCCATATCTAACAAAAATGAACAAATCACAATCGCTCCGAAATCATCGCCTGACCACCATGACCACGACCAACATCATCATCAATTCTCTAAAGGCCAACACAACCACCACCTCGCTGCCGTCGCCACCATGACCTACAACCACCAACATCTCACCATCACCCTCGCCACGACCCCCACCGTCGGCCACCACTCCAACACTACTTCACTTGCGCACCCACCAGATCCACCATCACGCCACCAACACAACACCGCACAATCACCGTACACAACCACTCATCGCACCATACCCAGCCACCGGTCACCGCAAACAACCACAATATCGCACCACCCACCAACCACACAACCCCGATCAACTTCCCCAAACTTAAAGCATCAACCATACATCTCCATTCTCGATTCAATTGTCCTAACATCTTCCACCACCAGATGTCCAGATTAGACAAAAACACTTCATCATCGTCGTCGTAGCTGCCACTGCCACCAGCGCCAACACCAAGCAGCCACGACCTCGACAGGCACCTCCACACCACTAATAGCAACACAAACTGCAACACAACACTATTGCGTACCAAAAATCGGGAGAGTTAGAGCGCTGCCGGTAGAGAGTCATTACTATAGACGACGACATTGCTTAATTTCCCCCCACTATTGATAGTCGACGGTCAAGAGGTGAGAATCGAGAGAAATGTAGAGAGAGAGAGAGAGTATTGGGAATTAATTAGGGTTTGTACAATGGAGTATATATATTTAATAAAATTTTTATTTTAAAAAATATTAATTAAAATAAAATCTCTGATTTTTGAAATGTTAAACTCCTCATCTTATTTTAGAATTGTGATTTTTAATATATGGAATTGTGTAATTTCCACTTATAATATTATATCTAGGGTTCAAGTTTTAATCTACTCAATAATTTTTGCAATTTATTAAAATTGTTAAGAACATATTAACATCCCACACATTGCAGTCATAACTATTAAAAATTGAGTATATGATATTTTGACTGACTACTGCTTGTCATCCAAAATTACAATAGTGAAATTAAATTTTATTTTTAATTATCTAGGGTTTAGAATTTAAACTTGGTATTAGGACAAGTACTTCTAAAAAAGTGTGATGCACGAAAAACCTAGTAATGGACGGTGCACCATTTAAACCTCATGTCTTAGACGGGACGAACTATTCATATTAGAAGATTAGGATGTAGGTCTATGTCTAGTCCTTAAATGAAAAAGCTTGACATTCCGTAATGTATTGTTATAAAACACCCACTATAACTAAAAATGAAAAAGAAAGAGAGCGGAACTACATATTTTATCAATGCTAGTTGGAAGGGTAATTTGTGGTGGTATGTAAGAGTGGAGTTTGAGCAGCAACATTTAGAATCGGTCGTGGTTATAGAGGTACAAAGTTTTGGATTAATAGGAAATTCTTATTAGAGAAGTGACACTGTTACCATGTAAGATAGGTATAACAATGAAAATTGAGAAAATATTATACGTCTTATTGATCATCTCAAACCTATTTGCAGTACAAGAATTTTAAACACTTTTACAATGAGTAAAATATGTAACATCTACCAATCGAATATATTTCATATTCACAAGTATTATCTATAAGATAATGTGACTCGGTATCGCTAATAATACATACTATCTTCAAATGTTATCTCCAAGAGATTGGGATTTTAACAGTATTATCTATAAGAGATTGTAATTTGTAGTTACGTTTGATAGGTGATCCAACTTATTTCATAAATTGAGATTTACTGTGGTAAATCAAGAATCAAAATAAATTGTAATTAATAAATTAACATGGATAATGATAAATAGTACTTGAGCAATATCTAGATTGAATCAAAATAAAAAATTATAAATGATATATTAAATTAATAAACAACTCAATAAACTACAAAGCTTTTTAACTTTCTCCGAAAGTTTTAATTTCCGTAAATATTCGATGTAAATCTTTTCCATCTATGACCTTGTCTCCTCTATTCAAAAAATTAACGATTTTTATGATATGAGAAATTGAGTTGTCAATATTTGAAACGATCCAAAGCAACAAAATTAAAGAACAATGACCATTGAATAACGTCTTTGAAAATATAGTGAAATAGCGATGAATGGTTGGATGGAAATGGGTCATAGTTTTGTCATGGTCTAGCCTAAAGTAGAACTGAACATGATATAACGGGCCTTGAATCTAGTAAGAAAGAGGAGAGTTGGGTCTGACCCATCTGGTTTCAAGTAAGCAGCTCCTGAGATTATTAAAAAAGAAAAAAAAAGAAAAAAAGGATAAGACGAGGTAAAAAATCATAAGTCAAGTATTAAGTATGCACTAAATCAATTTAGACATTAAGTTTTAAAATGCAAAAGTCAGATGTTAATTTGTTTTAACTTTTAAATAATAATATTATCAAATTAAATTAAGTTACCCGCAACCACCCGTCCTGCACATCACGCACCCACTGGTCACCATCCCTTCCTATAGTCATCGACATTCACCCACCACGAGCATCCAACCTGCTGTGTAACTTCTTTAGCAGCAAACATGAACATAGCCGACTCAAATAGTAAAGATAGAGGGAGAAATAACGGCATTTGGAGAACATTAATTGAGCATTGTCTGTGATTGATCATTCTCTTTATCCACGATTCGACAGTGCTATTTATAATTTAAAATGATTTTATAAAATTGAAAAAAAAAACCCGGATGGAATTTACAAAATACTTTTAAAGCAAATAACTTCAATTTTCATTGTCGAAATTGATTAATTGAATTTGTGACAGTGAATAAGTAACTTATGCACTTGACATGTGACCTATGACCTGATTTAATGGCCTATAAACAAATCCTTGAGGCTATGACCAAAATTCTTGAGTTTGTGACCATGACCAAATCTAATGACGGTGAACAAATTTCTTAGATCTGTGACTTGTGACATAATCTAATAGCATGTGATCAAATCTCTTGAATTTGTGACTTGTGATATATGCAATTTGATAGGTCATATATTCAATAGATTTGATCACAGAAACTCAATCGATTGTGATATACTCATCGCCTCCATCACCACTCGTTGACCTTGACCCACCATCAACATTCCACCACAACCACCGCTATCACATACATTATCACCATCACAATTAACAACCCAAAGACTAAGTAAATCAACAACGTCAAAACTTCGATAAAGCGTCCGATCGAAGGAAGAAACATACCAAAAGCATGGCAGCAGCCTATGACAACACAGTGTTGCTATCGCTGTGAGCGGCAATAGTGGCGTGGCAATGACGACGACATCATCATGCCGGCTTATAGTGGAGAGCCCAAAGCCAGATACCAAATCTCAAGTCTTAACAAATTGAGAACATGGGTGTCATTTAATCTGGATCGAGCCCATCTGAAACCAAGTCGGAATCTTGATTTTCTGACTAGGTTCGCTTGAGATGGGGCTCATCAGAACCGCTGCTGCACGACGAGAGAGAACGTGAGTGAGAGATAAGATGAGAGACTATTTTTAATTTTGACTAACACCTGATTCATGCTCAAGTAAACTTAATACCAAATTTTAAAATTGACATCTTTAAACATCTGTTGTGTTGTAATTTCCACAAAAAAGTCAAAGAAAGTGAGTCCTACATTGAATTGAAGATAATTAAGGAAAATATCTTTTACTTCTCTTTTTGTTCATCCTCCATTTAATGGACCGATCTACAATCCGATGACAAAGTTACCATAATCTAGCGCACACTACATGCACAGGAAATAAGCATATACTTTCAAACATTCATGAAAGTGAATAAACACGTATAATTTACAACTAATATCTATTTATTCGTCTACTGACATATAACCTTCTTATTTTCAAAACTCTGCCCATCCTTTTGGCGACAACGGCTAATTCCAGATACAAAAAATTCAAAAATAACAACAAATTATGAGACAAGGAATGGCTACTCCATAACCTGGACATTCCAGGCTAAAGAGAGAAGTAATGCAAGTAAAATTTTCACAGCTTTTCAATATTTAGTTTTATGGATCAAGGAGCAAGTACAAGGACTTTAATCGTCCCTTGACTGTTTGCTGCTAACATGGTCGGACTATCACTTTTCCAACAAACAGCACTAATGAAGTATAAACTGGCATCTTCATCGGCTTCATCAGTATCAGAACTGAATCTATGCCAAGCTGCTGGTTTTGAAATAGCCTGTACGATACCCAAATTCGATTCAACATCACATTCCACTACGAGAGATGGTCTAATTTCAAGTGTCAAATGACTTTTTTCGTCAAACATCAACATACCTTGTGATAGACACACACTTCATTTGTTTCACTGCCACAGGCTATATATTCACTGTTTACTGTTAGACCCACAAAATTCTTCTCATTCGCATGTCCTCTAAATGTGCGTACCTGAAGGAGAAATTCACTAGCGCGAAATGAACCTCAACATTCTCAAAGAGTGATTCAATGAATTAAATATTACTTGTACAACCACCACATATCTTCCCCAAGAAAAAAGACCATCCCAGTCCAGATTGGAGCTTGAGACAAAATAAAAGATTAAACAAGCAGAGCATTTATTCAGTTTTTTTCAATCCTTTTATCTAATTCGATTGCAAAATTTTTGAGGCTCAAACTGGATTAAGGGAAAAGATGATTGAACTTTCACGTGCTTCAGTTCCTATACTTACCGAAGAAAAAATATTTGATAATAAAATAGGAATAACATTAAAAAATTATAGCCTAGCAAGGATCATCAGTTACCGGCACATTTTGCTTAACGTCCCAGAGGCGCAATGTACTGTCGGTAGATGCAGAAGCAAGCTCGTTATCTGATAAAAATTTTACATAAGAAACAGCTTTCCTATGCCCACTGAAAATATGCAACGGCTGGCTAGTATTTCTCAAGTCATAATAATGAATGTGATGATCTGCAGAACCAACCTACAAGATACACAAGTATTAGACCTCTGGTGTAGAATTTATCTTGCTAGTATGTTCTGAATGATTTTCACTAAGCTCATAGGACAATAAATGATGAACTTACTGCCACGTTGATACTAGATCCGGGATTATATTTGACAGAACATATATTGGCTTTCATGTCAATATTCAGAACACTCGCTTCTTGGTTTGTACACCAAACTTTGACCTGGTGAACATTTGATATTAGGTTGACATATATTCATTTATCAAGATAACTTACTCCACAAAGATGAGTTCCATTTTAAAAGAAAATCTTTAATAGTTCAGAAACGGATTTCATACAGTTCGAAAAATAAGTCATCCTCACTTAATTCTTGAAAATAAACATGTTCTGGACATATTACACTTGGTCCTATTGGCAATGTTCCAATTTTCCTTTCAAAATACTATCATCACAATGAAACACGAAAAATGTAAACTGCTCACTAGAAATGGGGGAGAGGCTTTCTGAAGGACAGATAATATTTTCACAAAACAAACGATGCACCTCAAGAATAATTAAATCAAAATTCAAGCACCTTGCAATCATCACTCCCAGATACAAGCATTGAAGGCTCCGTACGTGAGAAATCAACACTCCAAGCTCGTTTTTCATGCTCCTCATACTCCATCACACTCTAAATAGATATAAATAAATTCGTATTTTGAGAGCGCGTTCAGCTAAGCATGACCACATTTTTGCACGACAAAGGGAAAACAAGCAGACAAATTATCAGCCTTAGATAATACCTGACGTGTAGTCACATCCCAAACAGTTACTATGCCCTCATAGTCACTACTGGCTATGTGATTTTTTGTGTACTTGTTCCAACTTAAACAGCTGAGTTTGGATCGTGTGGACATTTCCACAACAGGACATTGCACGTTGGCTGGTTCGTTAACCACCTGGAGAACAATAATCATGTAACCTTTTTCTTGTGAAACAAAAAATGTAATCGTCAGAAGATAATGTTCATAATACAATGTCTTGCTAAGAAAGTTAGCACCCGAAAAGTTAACTGAAGCCTCATTTAAGAATTTCATTTCCATAGAAAATTGAATGTATAAAGCCAAATTTTATTGTAAATAAATAAAAAACTGGCATCCATATTTTGTATATAGTCCAAAAAATTCTAGATGAAATTTGAAGCAACCATGCCTATTTTATAAACAAATGTCCCATCCTACAGTATAAAAATGTCAAATGATGTATATGAACAGGTCCATTCCAAAAATGCCAATCTACACCATCTCATTCAAGTTTTGAAACATTTTCCAAATACTAACCGATGAGAACTCAAAAACCTTGATACGCCTTGATACTCCAGCAGTAGCAAATAATTCATCATCTCTGTCAAATTCTATACTGCAACAGTGAAAAAAAAATTGAGGCATAATATGGGTAAACCTTCCACAAGACTGAGAGAAGTCTGATAAGAAACAATTCGAAAGATATTATAGTCATTATTTGATTCAAAAGAGGGGAAAAATGAAAGACCTCAAGGTTTCAAGACTCCTCAGAGCACATTTTGTCTAAATTTTTTCAGATTTCAGATGGCGGCTGCTATCGTGCACACAGAACACCACTATAATCAGATGAACAAAAGTAAATCCAAAACTCAAAAATATAAATCCCTATTTTTCTGAGGTATATTGTCTCCCCATATTTATGATTAGAACTGGTTGGTGAAAGGAACAATTAAATTCATAAATTTTAATTTGTAGATAAGCCCAAACCCGCTATTCCCAGGAGTTATCAATGAAACACAGAAATCTTAGCTACATTAGGACTTCCATAGGCTTTAATAAGTGATTTATTAACATTCATCATCAGCAATGTCTAAAAAAGTAGAAGTTCCAATCTTATCCATATACTACTTTCAGTTATCCTTAATGCTCTTCAAATGATTGGATTACGATACCTAAAGTATCCGAAAAGTGTGGTACAAAATTCTGCTCTCTGTTGAGAGCCTGCCCACCAGCGCCAACACCAAGCAGCCACGACCTCGACAGGCACCTCCACACCACTAATAGCAACACAAACTGCAACACAACACTATTGCGTACCAAAAATCGGGAGAGTTAGAGCGCTGCCGGTAGAGAGTCATTACTGTAGACGACGACATTGCTTAATTTCCCCCCACTATTGATAGTCGACGGTCAAGAGGTGAGAATCGAGAGAAATGTAGAGAGAGAGAGAGAGTATTGGGAATTAATTAGGGTTTGTACAATGGAGTATATATATTTAATAAAATTTTTATTTTAAAAAATATTAATTAAAATAAAATCTCTGATTTTTGAAATGTTAAACTCCTCATCTTATTTTAGAATTGTGATTTTTAATATATGGAATTGTGTAATTTCCACTTATAATATTATATCTAGGGTTCAAGTTTTAATCTACTCAATAATTTTTGCAATTTATTAAAATTGTTAAGAACATATTAACATCCCACACATTGCAGTCATAACTATTAAAAATTGAGTATATGATATTTTGACTGACTACTGCTTGTCATCCAAAATTACAATAGTGAAATTAAATTTTATTTTTAATTATCTAGGGTTTAGAATTTAAACTTGGTATTAGGACAAGTACTTCTAAAAAAGTGTGATGCACGAAAAACCTAGTAATGGACGGTGCACCATTTAAACCTCATGTCTTAGACGGGACGAACTATTCATATTAGAAGATTAGGATGTAGGTCTATGTCTAGTCCTTAAATGAAAAAGCTTGACATTCCGTAATGTATTGTTATAAAACACCCACTATAACTAAAAATGAAAAAGAAAGAGAGCGGAGCTACATATTTTATCAATGCTAGTTGGAAGGGTAATTTGTGGTGGTATGTAAGAGTGGAGTTTGAGCAGAAACATTTAGAATCGGTCGTGGTTATAGAGGTACAAAGTTTTGGATTAATAGGAAATTCTTATTAGAGAAGTGACACTGTTACCATGTAAGATAGGTATAACAATGAAAATTGAGAAAATATTATACGTGTTATTGATCATCTCAAACCTATTTGCAGTACAAGAATTTCAAACACTTTTACAATGAGTACAATATGTAACATCTACCAATCGAATATGTTTCATATTCACAAGTATTATCTATAAGATAATGCGACTCGGTATCGCTAATGATACATATTATCTTTAAATGTTCTCCAAGAGATTGGGATTTTAACAGTATTATCTATAAGAGATTGTAATTTGTAGTTACGTTTGATAGGTGATCCAACTTATTTCATAAATTGAGATTTACTGTGGTAAATCAAGAATCAAAATAAATTGTAATTAATAAATTAACATGGATAATGATAAATAGTACTTGAGCAATATCTAGATTGAATCAAAATAAAAAATTATAAATGATATATTAAATTAATAAACAACTCAATAAACTACAAAGCTTTTTAACTTTCTCCGAAAGTTTTAATTTCCGTAAATATTCGATGTAAATCTTTTCCATCTATGACCTTGTCTCCTCTATTCAAAAAATTAACGATTTTTATGATATGAGAAATTGAGTTGTCAATATTTGAAACGATCCAAAGCAACAAAATTAAAGAACAATGACCATTGAATAACGTCTTTGAAAATATAGTGAAATAGCGATGAATGGTTGGATGGAAATGGGTCATAGTTTTGTCATGGTCTAGCCTAAAGTAGAACTGAACATGATATAACGGGCCTTGAATCTAGTAAGAAAGAGGAGAGTTGGGTCTGACCCATCTGGTTTCAAGTAAGCAGCTCCTGAGATTATTAAAAAAGAAAAAAAAAGAAAAAAAGGATAAGTTAGGTAAAAAAATCATAAGTCAAGTATTAAGTATGCATTAAATCAATTTAGACATTAAGTTTTAAAATGCAAAAGTCAGATGTTAATCTGTTTTAACTTTTAAATAATAATATTATCAAATTAAATTAAGTTACCCGCAACCACCCGTCCTGCACATCACGCACCCACTGGTCACCATCCCTTCCTATAGTCATCGACATTCACCCACCACGAGCATCCAACCTGCTGTGTAACTTCTTTAGCAGCAAACATGAACATAGCCGACTCAAATAGTAAAGATAGAGGGAGAAATAACGGCATTTGGAGAACATTAATTGAGCATTGTCTGTGATTGATCATTCTCTTTATCCACGATTCGACAGTGCTATTTATAATTTAAAATGATTTTATAAAATTGAAAAAAAAAACCCGGATGGAATTTACAAAATACTTTTAAAGCAAATAACTTCAATTTTCATTGTCGAAATTGATTAATTGAATTTGTGACAGTGAATAAGTAACTTATGCACTTGACATGTGACCTATGACCTGATTTAATGGCCTATAAACAAATCCTTGAGGCTATGACCAAAATTCTTGAGTTTGTGACCATGACCAAATCTAATGACGGTGAACAAATTTCTTAGATCTGTGACTTGTGACATAATCTAATAGCATGTGATCAAATCTCTTGAATTTGTGACTTGTGATATATGCAATTTGATAGGTCATATATTCAATAGATTTGATCACAGAAACTCAATCGATTGTGATATACTCATCGCCTCCATCACCACTCGTTGACCTTGACCCACCATCAACATTCCACCACAACCACCGCTATCACATACATTATCACCATCACAATTAATAACCCAAAGACTAAGTAAATCAACAACGTCAAAACTTCGATAAAGCGTCCGATCGAAGGAAGAAACATACCAAAAGCATGGCAGCAGCCTATGACAACACAGTGTTGCTATCGCTGTGAGCGGCAATAGTGGCGTGGCAATGACGACGACATCATCATGCCGGCTTATAGTGGAGAACCCAAAGCCAGATACCAAATCTCAAGTCTTAACAAATTGAGAACATGGGTGTCATTTAATCTGGATCGAGCCCATCTGAAACCAAGTCGGAATCTTGATTTTCTGACTAGGTTCGCTTGAGATGGGGCTCATCAGAACCGCTGCTGCACGACGAGAGAGAACGTGAGTGAGAGATAAGATGAGAGACTATTTTTAATTTTGACTAACACCTGATTCATGCTCAAGTAAACTTAATACCAAATTTTAAAATTGACATCTTTAAACATCTGTTGTGTTGTAATTTCCACAAAAAAGTCAAAGAAAGTGAGTCCTACATTGAATTGAAGATAATTAAGGAAAATATCTTTTACTTCTCTTTTTGTTCATCCTCCATTTAATGGACCGATCTACAATCCGATGACAAAGTTACCATAATCTAGCGCACACTACATGCACAGGAAATAAGCATATACTTTCAAACATTCATGAAAGTGAATAAACACGTATAATTTACAACTAATATCTATTTATTCGTCTACTGACATATAACCTTCTTATTTTCAAAACTCTGCCCATCCTTTTGGCGACAACGGCTAATTCCAGATACAAAAAATTCAAAAATAACAACAAATTATGAGACAAGGAATGGCTACTCCATAACCTGGACATTCCAGGCTAAAGAGAGAAGTAATGCAAGTAAAATTTTCACAGCTTTTCAATATTTAGTTTTATGGATCAAGGAGCAAGTACAAGGACTTTAATCGTCCCTTGACTGTTTGCTGCTAACATGGTCGGACTATCACTTTTCCAACAAACAGCACTAATGAAGTATAAACTGGCATCTTCATCGGCTTCATCAGTATCAGAACTGAATCTATGCCAAGCTGCTGGTTTTGAAATAGCCTGTACGATACCCAAATTCGATTCAACATCACATTCCACTACGAGAGATGGTCTAATTTCAAGTGTCAAATGACTTTTTTCGTCAAACATCAACATACCTTGTGATAGACACACACTTCATTTGTTTCACTGCCACAGGCTATATATTCACTGTTTACTGTTAGACCCACAAAATTCTTCTCATTCGCATGTCCTCTAAATGTGCGTACCTGAAGGAGAAATTCACTAGCGCGAAATGAACCTCAACATTCTCAAAGAGTGATTCAATGAATTAAATATTACTTGTACAACCACCACATATCTTCCCCAAGAAAAAAGACCATCCCAGTCCAGATTGGAGCTTGAGACAAAATAAAAGATTAAACAAGCAGAGCATTTATTCAGTTTTTTTCAATCCTTTTATCTAATTCGATTGCAAAATTTTTGAGGCTCAAACTGGATTAAGGGAAAAGATGATTGAACTTTCACGTGCTTCAGTTCCTATACTTACCGAAGAAAAAATATTTGATAATAAAATAGGAATAACATTAAAAAATTATAGCCTAGCAAGGATCATCAGTTACCGGCACATTTTGCTTAACGTCCCAGAGGCGCAATGTACTGTCGGTAGATGCAGAAGCAAGCTCGTTATCTGATAAAAATTTTACATAAGAAACAGCTTTCCTATGCCCACTGAAAATATGCAACGGCTGGCTAGTATTTCTCAAGTCATAATAATGAATGTGATGATCTGCAGAACCAACCTACAAGATACACAAGTATTAGACCTCTGGTGTAGAATTTATCTTGCTAGTATGTTCTGAATGATTTTCACTAAGCTCATAGGACAATAAATGATGAACTTACTGCCACGTTGATACTAGATCCGGGATTATATTTGACAGAACATATATTGGCTTTCATGTCAATATTCAGAACACTCGCTTCTTGGTTTGTACACCAAACTTTGACCTGGTGAACATTTGATATTAGGTTGACATATATTCATTTATCAAGATAACTTACTCCACAAAGATGAGTTCCATTTTAAAAGAAAATCTTTAATAGTTCAGAAACGGATTTCATACAGTTCGAAAAATAAGTCATCCTCACTTAATTCTTGAAAATAAACATGTTCTGGACATATTACACTTGGTCCTATTGGCAATGTTCCAATTTTCCTTTCAAAATACTATCATCACAATGAAACACGAAAAATGTAAACTGCTCACTAGAAATGGGGGAGAGGCTTTCTGAAGGACAGATAATATTTTCACAAAACAAACGATGCACCTCAAGAATAATTAAATCAAAATTCAAGCACCTTGCAATCATCACTCCCAGATACAAGCATTGAAGGCTCCGTACGTGAGAAATCAACACTCCAAGCTCGTTTTTCATGCTCCTCATACTCCATCACACTCTAAATAGATATAAATAAATTCGTATTTTGAGAGCGCGTTCAGCTAAGCATGACCACATTTTTGCACGACCAAGGGAAAACAAGCAGACAAATTATCAGCCTTAGATAATACCTGACGTGTAGTCACATCCCAAACAGTTACTATGCCCTCATAGTCACTACTGGCTATGTGATTTTTTGTGTACTTGTTCCAACTTAAACAGCTGAGTTTGGATCGTGTGGACATTTCCACAACAGGACATTGCACGTTGGCTGGTTCGTTAACCACCTGGAGAACAATAATCATGTAACCTTTTTCTTGTGAAACAAAAAATGTAATCGTCAGAAGATAATGTTCATAATACAATGTCTTGCTAAGAAAGTTAGCACCCGAAAAGTTAACTGAAGCCTCATTTAAGAATTTCATTTCCATAGAAAATTGAATGTATAAAGCCAAATTTTATTGTAAATAAATAAAAAACTGGCATCCATATTTTGTATATAGTCCAAAAAATTCTAGATGAAATTTGAAGCAACCATGCCTATTTTATAAACAAATGTCCCATCCTACAGTATAAAAATGTCAAATGATGTATATGAACAGGTCCATTCCAAAAATGCCAATCTACACCATCTCATTCAAGTTTTGAAACATTTTCCAAATACTAACCGATGAGAACTCAAAAACCTTGATACGCCTTGATACTCCAGCAGTAGCAAATAATTCATCATCTCTGTCAAATTCTATACTGCAACAGTGAAAAAAAAATTGAGGCATAATATGGGTAAACCTTCCACAAGACTGAGAGAAGTCTGATAAGAAACAATTCGAAAGATATTATAGTCATTATTTGATTCAAAAGAGGGGAAAAATGAAAGACCTCAAGGTTTCAAGACTCCTCAGAGCACATTTTGTCTAAATTTTTTCAGATTTCAGATGGCGGCTGCTATCGTGCACACAGAACACCACTATAATCAGATGAACAAAAGTAAATCCAAAACTCAAAAATATAAATCCCTATTTTTCTGAGGTATATTGTCTCCCCATATTTATGATTAGAACTGGTTGGTGAAAAGAACAATTAAATTCATAAATTTTAATTTGTAGATAAGCCCAAACCCGCTATTCCCAGGAGTTATCAATGAAACACAGAAATCTTAGCTACATTAGGACTTCCATAGGCTTTAATAAGTGATTTATTAACATTCATCATCAGCAATGTCTAAAAAAGTAGAAGTTCCAATCTTATCCATATACTACTTTCAGTTATCCTTAATGCTCTTCAAATGATTGGATTACGATACCTAAAGTATCCGAAAAGTGTGGTACAAAATTCTGCTCTCTGTTGAGAGCCTGCTTAATCAAATCTAATGAAGAGTGGAATTTGAGAAAAAGTCTGCACAATATTCAGAAAACTCAACATACCTTGATACAATATTAGCTGAGTGAAAAATATCTCCATGCCTAAGTTCTGCAACGACCCGCAACCGACTAATTGACCAACCAAACAGATTTACTCTGTGAGTTGCATTTTAACAAGAGATACTAAATTCTATTGGGAGATAAAATAACTTACCTGTATCGCGTGAAGGTAGATAGAACAGCCTGAAAATCCTCAAGACCTGCACTGTAACTTTTTTCCCTATTCAAACCATGTGAATCCCTTTGTTGTTGCTCTTGTGACACCCAATACCTTCGCTTTTGCAAGTAACATTCTTGTAGATCATTCAACTGTTGCAACATGACATATTATAGTTAACATGTCAACAAAGATAAAATTACTTTTAACACAGAGCCAAACCAAATAGACATTTTCAATGGTGACTGTTAATATAAGTACTTAGCAACTACAACAAGTGGACTGATGAATCCAAAACACTACAAACAGTAGGACCTGAAAAATTGTATGCCTGAAAGACAGCATGCATAACTGAAGTCTGTCAAACTTGTGAATAAAATAAGCCCAAATGTTTTGCAGGAATTGTAATGCATTCTTAAAACTCGCATTTGGGCAATGAACACTTATAGCATGCCTCTGTTGATAAAAAATGACTTTCCTCTACATGTATAATTTCAACTATATACGTCTTTTTGAAAATCAAACAGTAAATTGCGGAGTTGTACTGAAGGTGCACTGACCTGTGCATGAACCCGCCGCTTTCTTGCCAATGCCAGTCTTGATTGAGTAATGTTTTGAGAATCTGATCCACCAGAAGCATCCTTTCTCAGGATTAAATGACTCGCAGGTGTTTGTGCATCAGTTTTACTGATTTTTGATGTACCTGAACTCATATGACAAAGCCCCTGTGCTCCAGGGGCCCTAGAGACAGTGGCACCACTACGTTTATCAATCAAGGATGGCCACATGTTTCTTGAAGTAGGGTCATCGGCAAGCATTCTCAATTTTGCAGAATATCGGTCTCTGGCTCGATACAGCTCTATTCGACGCCTTTCCACTACATGAATATCTTCTTTAACGTAATGAAGGTCAGCTTGAATCTGGATGACAATTTAAAACACAATTTAAAATAAGTATGACAAGAAACCATGGTTTTGTTTGAGCTGAGGGTAAATTCGTTATTTATTAACAAATGTCAAGAAAAAATTGGTTAATAGGCTTCACAGAGAGGATGAACTTATGATAGGCCAGTTAACAATTTGAACATAAACAGGGAATGTGTTGTAACATCTGAAAATAGCAGATATCTTTTAGCCCCATAACGAATACAAGATTAGTAGAAATGCTCTTCTTCTTGGATTTTCCAAAACAGGACCTTGGAAGTTCAATGATGCCAAGGTATATGACCCAGCAAGACAAACCTTTGCAAACTAATAAATACAGCCTACCACTAAGCTGATTGGGGAATCATATTCCCTTCTTTTCTAAATGTGGTTCTCGCAAACTTCGGTTAGTCCTATGGAAATTCTACTTATCCAAACACAAAAGTTACATTAGCTAGCATAGAAAATGGTAATGATTAAGCCAGAAAACAAGAAAATCAAGTTCAATGACCTCATTGAGCTCGTCAAGCTTTTTCTTTTTTAGACATTGCAGAAAGTCAAACAGAATCTGTAAATTTGTCTCAGCTTCTTCCTGTTCCATTTTACTTTTCTTCTCTGCAAGAAGAGACATGAGGCTTTCGAGCTGCTTAACTGACGCATCACATCCCTGTCTAAATATCAAATTAGAGATACAATATTACACAAGAAATCAGGCATGAAATGCACACGTAGTAAAAGGAAAAAATTATACACATGAATTGAGCCAACTAGGGAAGATCAATAGTTTGCACAATAATCCAATGGACTAGTCTTTGGTTCGTGGAAACAAATTTGCTACCTAATTGACTTGAATACCAAAAACTATCCCTTCACCTAGCAATAAAAAGTATTTAATTGCAAAATAATCCCACATTTCTTACGAATAGCCTATCACCTTCCAACTAGTAGTGGATCCATAACTCACAGCTTGGGTGGCAGCACAGGTTTCATAAATATCTAATGGGGCTGTATTATATTTCCTTACTTACTTGGTGGTTGGGGGAGGCAAAATCATATTTCAAGAAGATCCTTTTTGAAATTAACATTTTGTGAAAAACGTACAATTCTATAAACTAGGAAGGTCAGCTGTTGAGACCAACCCTCCTATAATACACTATTGCCTCCAATAGCGCTAACAGCCATTAAAACCAATGTACTTTTGCAAACATGAGGATTACTAGAAAATTATGTACTCAAGACCATAAATCAGTAGGTAAGAATCCATGCCTCCTGCACATATACCTCTACCATGCACAGCATCCTAAATATTGTAAGAGACTAGTTTCAAGAATGAAAAATTGAAAATTTCATACTTTCAAGGTGACAAGCAATAAATTATTATGGCAATTTCATCAGAAAAACGGCAAAATTGAAATAAGAAACAGTTCCAGTACATACATAAAACTGACCTGCTCTAGAGTGTGGCGAAGTTGTTCCAGAGGGTTGGCAGTTTTAGCTATTTGACGAGCAGATGTCTTCATCAATAACTATAGAATTTGGACATATATCACCATAAGCTCAGTGGAAGATTAAATAGTCTTGCATAACAAGACTAGAAATATTCAGAAGCATTAAAATTGTAAGTTAGGAAACTCACTAACTCAGCAATTATAAGGAAAATGCACCTCCATTTTCTATATGTCATAAATTCCAATTACCATTATGGCACCTGAAAAACTTACTGAAGGAGCCTCTGGCGATCATTCAGTTTTCACTTATGACTAACTATGTGACCAGAGTTTGATCATAGATTTTTTTTAACTCGTAGTTTTTAATAGCAGTGTAACATGACCATGTCTAGGATAAGTTTTTAATATTAATGGTGTTAGTTACTCTTCCGACAAATACATTTCCTCATCTTTCAATCATTGAAATTTTGAATCGTGTACCTCCCATGTCAGGTTACTTTATGATCACAATGCTTGTGAGATCAGTAGATTGGCACTTATTGAACATGAAACTTTTTATGAAAATAACATCTATTCTAGTGAAATATTCTTCTTTCAAAGCAAAGTCCGTTGCAAAAGATTTGATTTCACTGGCATCTTCACAAGAGTTAGCTTTAGATTGGAATGGAATGACAAAAAAGGACTTATGCAGAAAAACCGAAGTCTATTAGGAACAAAGCTTAGATTGTTGTTGTCTTCCAAGCACGAAGCACGAATGATTAATTAGTAAGGATCACCTTTATGAGGAAAAATGAAGAGTCCGACCCCGAATATTTTCTAGCAATAATGGCATTTCGATAACCATATCCTCCAGTTGTTACAACATTATGGAACAAGGAACAACTTTTAATTTCATATTACATGCATGGAAGAGAATTATGATTCTTCCCTTTATTTTCTTTTCTTATGTTTACTTTCATAATTCCAGTTCAGTAAAAAATTTCCTTACATCCAACAACATCCTGGAACATGAGTATTAAACAGTACTCAATTAACCCCAGTCAAACAAACTAAAAATGGGGCCATTTCCCAAAGTTCTAGTTAGCCACAATTGGCAGAAATCAAAACAAAACAGCAGAAACGTTGTCTTTCTAAAACTATCTATATTTTCACTTGCAAGTGGATCTCTATGATGAGATTCTGCTTTGGTAGTCACTTTACATTTTTCTCTTTCTGGAAAATTTATCAGCATTGGCAGAGGCAGTACTCCGATTCCACTGGGGCCTAATTTAAATTTCTAGTAAAATATTGACATACTACCAAGGTGTTTGGTGGTCATGTATTTTGGAATAGTAAATTGACGAAAAATGTGTGGTTAAAAAAGTAAGGAATTTTTTTTGATTTAAGTGAAATATTATTTTAACGTTCGTCCAAAAGAAAAGAAGAGAGAAAAAAAGCATTTTGAAAAAAATGGGTAACAAATAAACATGTAAATACACGGTTTAAATAACAAATGTAGCCCCGAAGAAACGAAAAAATATCGAAACAGCAAAATTTAATTTACATTAGAGAAATCCTAGCATTCGAGGAAAAAAATCATAAAAGAGTAAACCTTGTTGAGTAGGAAGTTAGGGTAAAGATGATTGGTGGTGAGGTGGTGAGAGCAACAAGGACAATCGCTCTTGTTCTGAAGATGAGTAACAATGCACATATAGCAGAAACTATGCCCACACGCCGTCAAAAACGCGTCCTTAATGATCTGCATACATATCGGGCACAAAACATCTTTATCCAGCTCTTCTACCCCCTGCCCCTTCTCCTCCATCGGTATCGAAGGCATAGGCTGAGCTGGAGGAGCTTCGCCGGAAGAATTTTCCGGTTCGGACTTCACTATAGGCACCAGCGCACCCATTGAAGTACTCTCCCCTCCCATTTTTATCTCTCCACAACAAGAGCAGTTTACAGCTCTCTCTCTCTCTCTCTCTCTCTCTCTCTCTCTCTCTCTCTACATGTGGGTGAGGGGAGAGATATGTGTCGATATATGGGGATTATTGTAAGTATTAATAATCCGTACGATCGAAGAGAGGAGGAGGAGAAGGCGGTTACTGTGTGTGGCCTAATGGAGAAGTGGTGGTTCTAGACAGAGATTTGTATGGGTAGAAACAGACCACGTTAGGCGGGCGTTTTTTCGATTCGCATCGGCACTTTTACTAGATTCAAATCAAATAATAGTGCGTGCGAGAGCTATTTTTATGTAAAAATATATTTTAAAATAGTAAATTGATGGAAAATATGTAGTTGAAAAATAAGGAAATTTTTTTTATTTATGTGTAATATTATTTTAGTGAAGAATGTGTGATTGAAAAGAAGAGAGAAAAATAAATTTTGAAAAAAAAAAGATACCAAATGGGGTCCTCCTTGATATTTTGCAATGTTTGACAAATTTAGCCTTTTAGCCTTGTTTGGCCATAGTTTTATAGAATTTATTTTTAATTATATTTTATTAAATTTAGAACTTCTATTAATATTTTAATCATATATTAAATCAATTTTTATTAGTATTCATTAAAAAAATTATTTTCTAATCAAATCAAACAGGGACTTAATGGTAAATAGCACCACAAAGTCTATTATAAAAGGGTAATTATATTCACACCACATTTTTTATTTATTACTCCACATTTTAATTACATTTAATGTTTTTAATCTTTGCTCATTATAATACTTATGTCCTTAATGATTTTTCGTGTCATTCATATCTTAGTTAACACATTTTGTATTTGATAACAGTTGTATATCCAAAAGTCCGTTAACACGACGTGAAACAACTAAGTTTTCCATCATACTTCAAAAAATAAATAAATAAAAAGTGCAAAAGACATATTCCCCTCATTTCAAAGTATGAAAACAAAAATATTTTAATATATATCATCACTGAGGGTGAGACATAGTAATTAATGAAAGATTGAAGATAAGAATTCAAAAAAAAAAAAGTTAAAGAAATAATTGCTATAATGTGTAAAGATTAAAGAGTTCAACTGTATTTAAAATGTGGTGTAACAAATAAAAACTTTTGTATGGCAATATAATCACCTTAAATTATATTCAAAAGGTCACTAAATGCAATTTCATTTTGTAATGGTAAATTTGTCAAACATGAAATAAAATAATGGGAATAATTTTTTACAAAAAGAAGAATTTAAGAAAAAATAGTTATATTCACACCACAATTTTTTTTAATAAATACACCACATTTTAATTATATTAAAGGTCATTAACCTTTATTAGTTATCGCACTTATATTCTTAACTTTTTTTCATCATATTTTATTTTTGACATTTTATTGATCAGAAAATCTTGTCCTTAATTATGGGTTTCGTTTAAAAATATTGTTAATGGCTTTAAAATTAAGGTCAAATATTTAAACGCATTTTATGTTAGGATAAAGATATTTATACAAAATTTGGTTTACAAAAAGTTTTACTCCCTCTCACATGCATTCGGGCCCTGCATAAATAAAAAAATCCAACATATGGTCCCATTTTCTCATTGTGAGTGTAAATAAAAAAAATTTTAAACCAAATTTTGTACATCTAGCATTGTCCTGTATGTTATATCTTGTTTTCCTTAAAAATAAAGCGAACGAGTGTTCTTACTTTATTTAAAAGAAAATATATGTTGGAGAGAAATCATAATCAATAACAATTTATGTTAATTTTGAGAATAAAAAAAATGCGATGAAAAATGTTTGAAATATAAATGTAATAATATGTAATAGTTACGAACCTTCACACAATTAAAAATGCAATATAGTTATTAAAAACTGTAATTTGAATTTATTAACCTTAGAAAAAAAACCCAAAAGATATAAAAGAAATCATCCCACCCAACCCTAGCCACTACCCCCACGAACATCCCCACGAGTTTGCCATTTCCACCACCACCGGCCACCGTAATTCACTGTAAGTGTTATGCCCTAGATCCAATCAATTTAGGTTGTAAACGCTTTTAATATATTTAATGCATTTGATTTTGGCGAGATTTATTATTTATTTAAATTAATTTTGTAATAAATAATATTAAATAATAGAATTCGAAAATCCAATTTTTAGGTAATCTGTTAATTACAAGGAGTTGTGATTGTGAGATACAAATTACATATAATTGGATGTTGAATAAACTATGGTCGTAAGTAGTAACAAGATACGGATATCATTAATACAGTTAGACCATCACGTGTGACATTTCTTACTTGTGAAGTAAGTAGCCGATCTCACGAGCTAAAGTGTGGTGACACTTAAATGAACACGTGGATGTTTTGTTATAAAACAAAACATTGGAGACCCGCTAAGAGATTCCACATGGATAATTATCTGAGTGTCAGTGGCTAATCTCTAACGTTCGGTAGTGG